TTCTTAATCTCTAGAACCTTCCTCATTCTAAGATTACTTCTTCTTCAAGTTACGGAATTACTCAACAGTTCATGCATTGTCTGCAATAATGCAGATGGATAATTTTATATCATATGACCATCCAACTAGTTAATATCTTAAAGAGAAAGCATATAGCAATATTTGTTCGAATGAAATGAAATAATTAACAATATTACGTAGCAAAAAAAAAAATTTAACAATATTTGAATTAGGGTATAGAAATTGTTTTAGATGATGCCGGTAGATACCGACAAAAAAAATTTCATCTTTTTACGTGTAGCCATAAAAGGGTTTCAATTTCCCAAGAAATTTCCCGAAACCCATTACGTTTTAAGCTTCATGTACATCGAGAGTTTTTGTGCATGTAATATTCCAATAATCTTGGTGAATGGAATGGTGCTCCAAAAAGTACACAAGTAATTAATGTTATGTACCTGTATATAAAAAGATCTCAAATTTTTGAAGTACTTAAGGTTCGAGCTCTCGTATTGCGGTCTCAACTATGATTGACCACTCCATATATGAAATGGCCAGAAATCTCAAATTTACACATATTTCGAAAATTAGTTTGGATTTTGCAATCCAACATTTTTTTTTCTTTATTAAAACCAAAACAAAAACAAAGACATGTAAGATAGCTATCCAAATTACTACAAATATTGTATTCATATAATTCGTGGCTAGCTATGTGAGAAAACTAATACATTTCTAATCGATGTGTTTACATAGTTTATATATATGATTCAAATATTGAAGAAAATTGTATAACATAAAAAGGTGGAATATGAAATACAAGAGATAGTCGACTTTTGTCAACAACTTGCCAAATTAATTAATTAGTAAATTTGCAAGTGATAGAACTATGGTAAAATTAACAATCCAAAAGTATTATCATGAGATTAGTTTTAACTTTTAACTCGAACAGAATCAAGTGATAATTGGTCCATGTCTCCCTCTCTCGAAAACTGAGTTTTTTCCTTTTCCTTTTTTTTTAACTATTGGTGCGCATTGAACAAAGTGAATGTAGGTATCGGGGTTCTCACTCTCCATAGCCAAAATCACTTTTTTCCAAATATGGATTGTTTTGTCTGAAAAAAGTAATTTTCCATTTTTGGTATAAAACAGCCATTCT